CTAAAAGGTAATACAATGATAATACAATTCGCCTTTCTCCTTGTAATAAAATCTTTACTTTCAAAGTGTGATGTGATATATTGCAGCTAACTATTACTCGAAAGGCTATTTTTATTCACCAACATCTTTGAATATATATTTGTAAGTGAAAACGGTTATCATTAATAATTTATACCAAGTTGTATGTAACGCAAAAATTGATCTCGAAACTATTCTATATAAGACAATTTACTTTTGTTTAATATATGTTTGTTCAAAAACTAAGCTTATAATATAATTTTATCACTGGAGCTAAAATTATAACAACCAAGAGAAACTAGGTACGTTTGTGCAATTTATTTTTGATTAACTATAATTTTGTTAATTTGCCAGTTATCTGGAAAAAAAGTAAATTAAATGGTAATTGTACATTTGTCTATATAAAAATACTAAAATACTGCTCTTGAATACGATGGATTTAGTCATAAAATCAAAACATCGGAAGAACGGTTGTGACAGCGAAAAAGGTCAGTAGTGACAGGTATTAAAATGGGTTAAAACAATAGGCATAATCAACAAAATAGTTTATGGAAACTTTTATTGTTGTTAATAACATTGATATGCATTAATATGTAATACAACACAACATATACATTCAAAAAAAAGTTATAAATAAAATATAACAATGTATAACAAATTGTAATTTTTAAACAAAGCCCACAAGAATTTCTTGTGAAATCGTTTTTTTATTGAATTTTTCAATAAATCCAGTGCTGGATTTACAGTAGGGGAAGTAGGGGCTACTGCCCAGGGCGGCAAAATTGTATGTAATGCGTAATAAATTTACTGCACTCAAATAGTAATTTTAATTTAAAAAAATGATATATAAAAACTATTTTACTTAAAAATTTAGGGATGGGGCGGCATTTTTGTCAGTATCCCAGGGCGCCAAATTTCTAAATCCGGCCCTAATTTCTGGTAAATAACTACTCATGTTCAACTTACAGCAAAATAACAAGTAAGTAATTTATCTGTGTACAGTTAATAGTTATGATTAAAAGCTTCCGAACACGAAAACTTACTTTTGATTCTTTAAAAGCAAAGCGGGCTACAGACTATGTTAATGTGGGACACTAACTAAAAGAAATAATGGAAACTTGTTCGAACAGTCATACTTCATCTTTCTCTTCTTGGACCTTGCCAAAATAAGGAAGTGAAGTACCTAAAACCACAATCCTTTGTGGTCCACAAACTTCGATATGATAATGGGTAGTTTCTTCCTCTCTAAGAAAGGTCCGTGAGCTGAGTTAAGCTCAAGCTCGATTCATAGAAGAATATAGTGAGAGATTTTTTATTGTCATTTTAAATCACAGTGCCCGAAAATGGCTTCTTTCTATTGCAAATATTATTTTGATCTATATTTTTAATTCAAAATGATATCACTACTGCATTATATGTTCATTTATTTATTTATTTATTCATAAGCAAGCCGTAATCAAAAATAATAGATATTATTTCATGCTCTTGTCAAGCTTATTCATAATGATATTAAAAGGACAGTTATTTTATAATAATCATAGTAGCTGCACGAATTTCGCTTCTGAAAAAAAGCTGAAAAAAAGCATTCGAACATTAAATACAATATTAATCATCAAGCTCATTATATTAAAGTCTATTAGACCACCAGTCAAGTTAAAAATTCTTGTACAATGTTGAAAGTTATACTCATTTAAAACCGTAAAAATTTAAATTATTGAAATAGCAATAAAAAACATGATTGTACAGGAGATCAAATGGTCAGACTATATACATAAATGATAAGGATTAGGCAATCAAGTTATCCACATCGGGATTCAAACTCACAAGACAGCGCGCATAACCGTCACTCCATAGAACATGGATGTGCATAAAGTTATTTAATAAGAACAATATAAAATATATGTATTTCAATATTTTTGAGTCCACAAGCCGCCCGTCTATGCGTACACCTATAACAAAACTTATCACAATAGGGGCATTGTATCGTGCGTGTTCCGAGCTTTGGAGATTTAATGGCAAGAACGAAGGCTAAGTCAACTCCTCTGCGACGTAAATCCGCATTGTGCAAATGAATTGCGCCTCAATTTGTATCTGGGTAGTGGGTACACTGTGCAAACAAGCAGAAGCGACTTTGTCTGTAATGCAACTTTTGGCCGTTTTATCTCTTCTATTTGCGTCTGTCCAGTATAGACAATGTCATTGCCCATTTGAACGCGGATACTCATGATGGCAATAGACGGATATTGCGATGGAACGTGCTACCAGTAGTAATGTCTTTTAAAGCTTTGAGGAAAGCGGATTTAGAGATATTTATTATTCGTCTATGTTGCACGTTTAGCCAATTACTAACACAAGTTAGCAAGTTTTATTTCACATGCTTTCATAACAGAATCATATCAGTTCTTAATGACTTTTATAAATATAAGAAGATTTTTTTCAAAGCAGTTCAAATTAATTTACTGGCAGCTCCTTAAATAACATAGTTCATTATATAAATTAATTTCTAACTTCTCGAAGGACAAGTTTGTTCTCGTCAAAAAATCCAATTTGCTAATTTTATGTTTTCTCAACGTTCCAAGTAATTCTGAATCGAATCTGGCTAATTTTGAATAATGTATGTGGTGTGGGTGTGTATGTGTAAACTGATTTTCGACCTTTCGTCGACGTTTTTTTATAAAATGGCTGGGACGATTTCAAAATTTAAAAGCCATTTGATGTAACTCGATAAAGACTAGCATTTGTCATTTAGTAAATAGCAAAAAAGTGAAATTTGTTCATACACGTTTTAGCCCGCAATTTTGATCTTCTTGCTACAGGATTTTTTGAACAGTTTTTAAATTTTTGTCCAAAATTAATCAGCACGTCTCCAAACCATGGTTAAAATCGTGCCTTAAAGCAAATTGCTGGAACTTCCCGTACCGTAACGAAATGTTCGATAAATATTAATTGTTTTCAAATAGATTATTATAAATAATATTACATTATCTAATATTTATTTATAAGAATTATGTAACGCTGAATTACAAAGTTAAAATCATTTATTCAAAGTATGTAAGTGCTGTAGAACTTCAGCCAGAATTAAAATTAAAATTTCAATTATCTTCAAAATACAAAAATTTTTTTTTGAAAATATGACAAAAAAATGGAACAATTTTTTTTTTCGAAAGCAATTATTTTGTCAAAACAAGATTGGCCAAACCGTTTCTTTGTAATTTGTTGAAAAAATTTTTTTTGATGAAACTTGTTGTTTTGATAGATACCATGGTCCTAATTAGGTTCTAATTAGTTCTTTAAAGAACATACTTAGATTTTACGGCCTAGTAGTTTAATTTAAAATTTTTTTTTTGAAAAAATATTGTAGAAAAAATTGTGTCAAATGTGGATTTTGTGGTGTGATGAGTCAAAAATTGTTAGTTCATTCAAATTTGGAATTAAAAGCTACAATAATAGTATATATAAGCACCCGTCTGTGCAATATAATTAATATAATTACAGACAATTTATATGTGTTCGAGAAAACTCAATTAGAAATTGCAATGTTTAGATTTAATTGAAAGCGAAAACTTTATTTTTGAGAAAAACAGTTAAAATTTTTATCTAAAATCTAAATTTCACTTTCGCTTGATTACGTCAATTATTACACATTTCTGGAAGTTTGTGCAACTTGCATTAAGGCTAAATGTCATTTTCAATTAGTATGTATGTAAATTTCAAAACATGTATTTTATAGAATGAGGTGAATAACAGTGTGTTGGTTATATATATGAATGTTTTATCCAGGTTGTTTTCGTTACCTAGGTTGTATTGGTGGTATATATGAATCTTTTTTTATACTCTCACAATATTATATGAATATCACAATACATTCAGCGAAATACATACTATATTTGACAAAAAATATTACCAATTCTCAGAAAAAAGATCACATTTTGATAATTAGGAAAGTCATTTGATATTACAATAATCTTTTAAAAGAAAGAATTATTATATAACATGTTCCAATTGCAGTTTTAAGTGGATCAGGATATAATTTGGCACTGCGTGTTTGTCATACCAAATCATTTTCCGGCTCTAATGTTAGTGTTGTCTTTTTCTGAAAAAACATTCTAAAACTACATAGTCCTATGAGTCGTAGAACTCGATTAGACAAGTGGTTTAATTGAAAATCAAACTATAATAGATCTGTAATTGTATTGATTATTGTGCACTACTTACGTACTGGCTTGTTTTTTTACAAAGATCGACCGGGACGTTTCTTCGTAATTAATGCAACGTTGCACAGTAACAAGATTGATTCTATCGACAAGCATATTAAAATTGTATGGGTTTACAAAAGTGAATCAATGATAAAAAATCATTAGAGATTGGAATTAGATTAGATTATAATGAAACATTCATTAGAAATAATGAAACATTTGTTTCGTCACAGTTTTAAAAGTTGTTAGATGTCAATACGTCATTATGCCAGTTACATATTTTGGAAAGTTAATTTTGAATTTCAAATTCTGTATGGAAACATGATCAGACCCAAATATATACGATAAATTTTATTTCAGTCATATAAATAGTTAAGCAAATTTGTCAGACAATTTGGTAAACTTTATTTATATTTGCTTTAATGAAGAGCCACTTCATATTAGATACTTTTTCAATATCAAAATTAAATCCAAATGGCTTATGAAATATAAATATTCTTATTTTATATTTGATATATTAAAAAAAAATACTTACATTTAATATAAATATACTTATGACATGATTACCTAAAATTTACTTGAAAGTTACAGCCTGTTGCAATACTTTAGACCTTTGTGCTGATTTCGAATGGGTTTTCATATTTTACAACTATATCAATATTTGGCTTAAAAATATTAATGGCTCTGATTGATTGGTTTGATTGAATGAATATTTTTATAGAATTAGTCGAAGTCTTATTTATTTATTTAGTTGAAGCATTATTTATGTTTTCAAATTTTTTTCAGGTACGGAAGTCCCCATCACAGTCGTTCCCAATCTGTGAAGACGCCAGGGCGTTGCACTCACTTATCGCTTCCCGCCCAGCGGTCCCGCGTGGCTTCAATGCCAAACACGGGCACCGAAGAGGAATATTACAGACTGAGACATTTTTCAATTACCGGCAAAGGAGTTGTGAATCGTGGAGATTCTCTCAAAAGCCGAAGATCGAGGTCCAATAATAGCGTGGCCAGCAGCAATTCCAGGTGAGAGAACATCAGTTTAATAATAGATCTAATCATTTTTAGTAATTCGTCTGCTTCGATAAATATTGCTAACTATAAATTAAATTTTCCATGGGTTAGTATTTAGAAGAATCATGTTTTGTGCTTCGCAAAAAAACTATTCAGGTCCTTGGTCAAAAAAAAATATCGAAAATCAAGTTATTACTTTTATCATCAATTGTTATCAATATTCAAGTAAGGTAGAACGGGGCTTAAAGATTCGCGCGTAAAATTGTTCACCATCGATATCTCAAAAAAAGTAAAATTAAGAATTTTTTAACAACAATATTTCAAAGAAGACGGAAAAAGATGTAAAACCAGTCACTACCTTGATTCTTATGACGTTATCGGAAGATTAAGGGCAATAATTGATAATCCATAACAAAAGTATTATCATTTGTCATTATTTTCTTGTTTGTAAGAACTGTTGTTCAGTTTACGAGATCTTTATATAATTTCAATGTCTACGTAAATTTAGTTAAATCTAGCAATATTACTATAATAGAGATAAATTAGATAAATAGTTATTCCAACTCTGCTGATGAATATTTCTGACAAAATACCAGATCAAGGTTATGTACAGTGTTATCTCTGTAAAAAATATGCCCTTGAAATTCATGTTTTGCATTGGCTGCATAATGTAGCTATTATTTTGTAAAATCCCTTTAAAATTTAATATAAGACATTGGATCTGTGTGCCCTCTGGACGTCTCATTTTACCCCGTCAAGGGGTAAATTAGACAAGTTAATTATTTTCGAAAAACAGCAAAAAAACACATTTCTACAATGATGAGCTAGCTAGGAGTTTTACTGAACATAGTCAGAATGTTGTTGGTTTAATATGTGTTATTTGTTGTGATATAATTGGTTTGGTTTTCACAATATAATTGCTCAAAGTCAAATAGTACCTTTGTGCCCTACCTTACCCTATAAATTAATGTACTATTTTCAACGCTACTGTATAGTTTAGTTCAAGTATATTAATTGGTGCTTAAATGTAAATAGTAACAGCGTATAGTAATTTAATGGGCTATTTTTTATATATCCATTAGTTTGATATTTTTCTTTTCACTAAACTAAAATGTAAAATGTTTCAAAATATGTATATAGTATATAAACCTATAGATTCATAAAATCGAATCTTAAAATTTGCAATGAGTATTTTTAATCCCCATATATATTTAAGTGTATTATACATAATCATCATCTTAACACAATTGCTTTATAGAAAGAAAATACCCTAATTCAACCATGGCATGATATATATATATATATATATATATATATATATATATATATATATATATATAATATCCTACGACAAGTTCTATCATTAACATTATAAATAACAGATCTATTCAAATTGACTAATTTCACTATATTATTAATGCATTTTTTGATTCAGTGCACTAACAAAATTATATGAATAAATTTCTATAAATTTCGTAATTTTAAATTGGATTGGAATTAAATTTAAATTTGGAGTTAATAGTCCATTGCATCTTTTATATTATATTTTGGATTTATTCATAATTACAGCTGTCGAAAAAGCTATGACAATTTTACGGCTATTAATTCATAATAACGTAACATGAGTGCACTTCGTGATAATAATAATTGTATCAAAGCATTAGTAATTCAAATTTTCGGCATATATAGGTAACAGGATATAGTTGATATTTTTATGAATAATAAAATAGCAACAATTCGTATAATTTGTCGTCATATTTTATAACAAAATATAATAGAGATTTTTGTATTTGGGGTATTCAAAATAAAAATTCAGCTAATATAAAATCGATTTGAAACATGCCAATTAGATATGTATTTTTTTGGGCTCAAATATGATATTTAGATTTTCTCTGAAAATTCAAAACTTATAAATACTTACATTGGTTGTCTTCTAATATAAATTACATCAAACTAAATAGAACTATTGGGATATCTCCTAGAAAGGAACTTCAAGAAGAAGTATCATCACAACAACTTTTGGAACCTTTGGTTTTGATTAATTTTGACCGTACTTATTACCAATGAAAACTTTACGTAATGTAACCTCTACGTAACATTGGTCTATTTTGCGGCAGAACTGGCTCCTAAGTTTGACAAATTGTGCATTTTTGTTATTCTGTACAAAATGGAAAAATTGAAATAATATATTCTAATTGCCTATCTGTTTTTAGCTTGATCACTAAATTATTAACTTCCCGTAGGGTAAGTTATTGTAATGGGCCAAAAATCGAAATTGAAATTTTTTACATTTCTCAACGTTTTGAAGGTTCCTGAACATTTTGTCATACCTCAGAAAAAATGGATGTGTTTATGTGTGTGTGTGTGTATGTAAGTATGGATACAATTTTTCGTCCACCTTTTTGGAGAAGGTAGGTCCAGCAGTTACGGATATAAAAAGAAGAGTGCAGAAATCGAGTTTTTGAGAGAACGGAGCACCCGATTTGAATGATCTAAATAACACTCAATTAGTACTGTTCGGAAAAAGTGATTATTAGTTTATCGCAAAGGCAGGCCCAGCCCTTTCGAAGATACCGAGCAAAATGTGCAAAAAATGGCAGTTTTTAAGAGAAGTAAGCGTCCGATTTAAATGATTCAGAAAACTTTCTGCTTGTTTTAACAAAATAATTGATTTCAGAAAAAGAAATTTTGTTTATTTTTTTTTCAATTTTTTTTTCAAAATTTTTTTTTGTATATCGAAAATAATCAGATTTTATTTTTAATTCTGACTAAAGTTCTGATATATTTTAAATAAATAACTTCAACTTTGCAATTCAGTTTATATAATTCTTATAAATATTAGACAATGTTATAATATTTATAATAATCTATTTGAAAACATTCAAAATTCTTCGAATATTTCGTTACGGTACGGGAAGTACCAGCAATTTGCCTTATTATAAAATTATAAATTAAGGCACGATGCCACACACCCCACTAGTTTAAGTCAATCGATTATTCATTAGGTACAAAAAAAACTGATCTAAGATCCACGTCTAATAATGTAGCTTTTTTTCGTCATAATACAAAAAAACAGGAACAGATAACGTGGTTTTTGCGCCTTGATAAATTTAAGATTTTCTGTATTTTATCCGTTTTTTGTTAAGCTATTAATATGGGTATTCATCATGTTTTTATACTTAAAAAACCCATCTTAATTACCATTATTAGTTTTTTATACAAAACTTCTATACAATGTTATAGAAAAAACACTAATTCTCTTCTCAGAATTTCTATAAATAGTATACTGTTTTTGCTGCATAACTTTTAAAAATTAGTAATAGATGCATAGTACAAAGGGCTTATCCCAAACTCCGAAAATTGCAAGAAACATTCAACACTATTTATTGATTTATACAAGTTGTTTCTATGAATAGTTAATATTTCTTATATTATACAAGTAACAGTTATGGCGGACCTAGTAATTAAAGATCGATAGACGATCAACAAAAAGATATAATAATATCTTTCTCATAGTGTTCTTACGTATCTAAGGTATATTTTTCTTTTTATAAAACGATTCGATTTATATTTGCTTGTAATATTTTCAATTTCTTACATAGCACGTAACCCGCATGGATATCTCATCGACCACTTTTCTACGTACTTCTCACACTCATGTTTTATGCATAACCAAGAAACATGTGTTAGATTCCCTTTCATATTTTCATATATCACAAAATCATATCAAAACGTTCACTTTTAGTATTATCATACTGTTATTCCTCATACATGTTGTGTTAAATATAATTTTGTTTATCTTTGGTTAAATACTAACAAACGCTGTTTAATGAATTTCTCTGGTCTCAGTAATAAGTGGCATAAATAATTTGCACGATTATATAAAACTCGATCAAACAATTAAAAGATAATAATATTTTTGTTTTTGGTATATGGTATATTATAGTATGGTACGCATATCGTTTATTGTATCGAAATATTTTTGTCTAGAAGTTCTGTTCATATAATTATCAAAATCGGCCATTAACGTTTTTTTTTCGTAATTTGTAGATACAAATTTACGTTTATAGAATTTTGATAAACTTAGTATTAATTACTGGTGTATTAATCTTTCGGATAAATTGAACAAAGCTTTGAAAATAGATGTTTCTGTTTCTAACAATTTTATGTTATTTATCAACGATTTATCACATGATTTTAATCAGTATATATTTCATAACATTTGCATCACATATAAAATATACCCAAAAGTAGCTTTTTATATAATAACTTTCAAGAAAAATTCAATTATTTTGAAAAAAAAACACAGTTGATACTTGTTAACTTCCCGAAGGAGAAGTTTATGTTTTCATCAAAAAATCCGAATGGCTAATTTTATGTTTTCTCGACGTTTCAAGCCATTCTGAATCGAATGAGACCAAATTTGGAAAAAGTATGTGTGTGTGTGTGTGTGTGTGTGCGTGTATGTGAACAAATTTTTTGCCGTAAATCGACGTTTTCTCGAAAACGGCTGGACCGATTTCAAAAATTTAAAAGCCACTCGATGTATCTCAATGAGGACTATTGTTTGTCAACTTTGTGCGACGATCGGTCAAGCCGTTTCATTATAAATCGCAGAAAGGTGAAAAATTTTTCGTCTACGTTTTAACCCGCAATTCTGAATCGATTTTGAAAATTCAAAAACCGTTCGAAACATATTGGTTGGGAATCGTGCTGACTAGTTTTTGGTAGAGATCGGCCGAGCCGTTTTCTTGTAATAAAGTTTAAAAAAAAAATTCGACGATTTTTATGATTATTTTTTTGGCGGTAGATACCATAGTCTTCTAGATCATACTAAAATATTACGGCCCTACGACAACTGGTTTAGCTTTAAAAAATTGTCAAAGTTTGCAAAAATCAGTATGGTCTTTTTGGCATTTGTCAAAATTAGAACTTTCATAGACAATTGCTCAGAAACGCCTGAACCGATTTCAGATATTTAAAAAGCATTTGATGTATCTCGATGAGGATTA